GCCAGAGTTCTTGGAATGCCAAGACCCCATCTCACCCACCCCACCCCACCTGCCTTTGCCACTTCACTCCCAAGGCCCACACCAGCAGATCAAGGGCCATCTGGGAGCTGGATCATGCACTGCAAGGGCCCCCCTCGGCTCCTAGTTTCCATCAGATGGGAACCATATCCGCTTGGAAGAAGGGTGCAGCTCTGAGGTTTCCAGAAGAAAGAAAACTGATCTCCACCAAGAACTTAGACACAATACCTTCCAGTTTGCAAACATTATCTGGGAGATGGGGATTGCCGCCTCCACTTTAATGATGAGGAAACTGAGGCTAGACCACCAGTTGCATGAGGCTTGGACCCTCTCTGCCTTGTTTGCCCCTGTCTCCCCAATGTCTGGCACACAGCAGGTTCTCAAGATGCACTTTCTGAGTGGATGAATGAGGCTCAGAGAGGGTAAGCGATTTGCCCAAGGTCACACGGCCAGAAAGTAGTTCAACTGGGCATCAACTCTGGCCAGTCTGAATCTTGCACCCAGGCTGCTTCTGAGCTCCACCCCACTGAGGTGGGGGCTTCGTGCATACACATGTGAACGTGCACCCACCCTCTGTCAGAGCTGTGCACACACACATATACACACCTACACACACACACACACTTCAGCTGACAGCCCCCACCTGCCATGCCTCTCAAGCTCACTTAATGGGCTCTGTCTCCGTCACCTCCAGAGGTACACAAACTCCCTTCTGTGCTGGTCTTACACCCTCCTCTGTCACCACCCCCTCCTCCACGCCCACAGAAGGCGGGATGGCACATGCCCTCTTCCACCCCCGCAGCCCTGGCGCCCTGTCTGCCTCCCCAGGCCCCAGGAGCTACATTGGCACCAGGACTGCTCTGGAGAAGGCTGTGGAACCACCCCACACCCCAACTCCCCTGTCCAGATGGTCATACTTAGGGCTAAGGGAGGACAGCATCATGCCCAAGGTGGCACAGCCCATAAGTGATGGGCTGGTGTCTGGGCATTGTCGAGGGCTTGGCTGCATATGGGACCATTCCAAGATTCGGTGGCACCTCCAAGATTTGAGGCTATGCCACATGATCCAGCCTCTGGAGTGGCTGGAAGCGCAGGTCTGAGGGGCCAGAGCCCTGGACTTTTCTCTCTCCCTGTTTTGTGCAGTCCCAGACCTGCTTGGGGACCAGCTGGGTGCTCAGGTCTCTGGGCAGAGGGACAGGAGACTCCTGAGCAGGCTGAACCTGAACTGGGCACTCTCTGCTTCCCCAGTGATAAACAACCCACAGGCAGGAGTGGTCAGGGAGGCAGGAACCCCCGGGGGGTATGGATGGCATGTGCCAAACTCTAGGCTTGAGACTACCTACAGTTTTTCATTTAATCTCACAGCAACCCTGGGAGATAGGCAGTAAGTGAAGGTTAAAAAGCAAAGATGTCACTTTGAGGACGAGGGTGCACCTGACCCAAGCCGTGGTGTTTTCAATGGCCTCATATGCATGCAAAAGCTGGACAACAAATAAGGAAGACGGAAGAAGAATTGATGCTTTCGAATTATGGTATTGGCAAAGAATATTGAATATACCATGGACTGCCAGAGAAGGAACAAGTCTGTCTTGGAAGAAGTACAACCAGAAAGCTCCTTGGAAGCATTTGTCTCACATACTTTGGACAAGTTATCAGGAGAGATCAGTCCCTGGAGAAGGACATCATGCTTGGTAAAGTAGAGGGTCAGAGAAAAAGAGGAAGACCCTCAACGAGATGGGTTGACACAGTGGCTGCAACAATGGGCTCAAGCATAGCAAGGATTGTGAGGATGGCGCAGGACAGGGCAGTGTTTCATTCTGTTGTACACAGTATCATTATGAGTCAGAACCAACTGGATGGCACCTAACAACAACAGAAGGGGTAAGCAAGGCCCAGAGAGTTAAGGCACTTGCCCAAGGTTCTCACTCCCTGGCATACAGTACGTGCTCACTAAGTGTTTGCTGCGTGGATGAAGCTGCAACAGAGGAAGTGAATTGCCCAAGAGCATGAGCAGTTAGGATTTGAACCCAGGTCTGACTCCAAAGCCTCTTTGCTTCTCTGCCGCAGCTAAGCTTCCTCTGTAGCCTTGGGGTCAACAGACAGGGACCAGCTGGTGTTTACCCCTCAGGAGTACCCTGTATGATGTGGCCAGGTTTCCAGCACTCCACACTGTTTCCTTTCAAACTGAGAGAGAGAAAAGCAGCCCCTGACTGCCGGGAGCTGCCCTGGCCCTCGCAGCGAGACCTTGGCGTGCTCCTGTTGAACATAAACAATTTCACAGATCACCAGCATCAGACAAAGCCACTCTGACTGTGATGGACCAAGACAAAAACAAGAGCACTCTGTAATCATGCCTAACAAAAAAGTGAACATGGTCCAAACCATAGAAAGAACCAAACATCCCTCTACCCTGGCTAAATGAGTGACGGCTCCTTCTTTATCAATCACAGCTTTAGCTTCAAGTCATTTCTCCCCTTTCTAGATCAAAATTATTCAGATCCTCAATCACAGAATTACCACCACTTCCTGACAGCACTCAATCCAAGCAAAGCTGCACTTCCTTGAACTCTCCCCAAGGCACTTAATGCAAGCCCTAGTCCTAGAAGTCCTTCTGTCTTAGTCATCTAGTGCTGCTATAACAGAATCACCACAAGCAGATGGCTTTAACAAACAGAAAGTTATTCTCTCACAGTCTAGGAGGCTAGAGGTCCGAATTCAGGGCGCCAGCTCCAGGCGAAGGCTTTCTCTCTTTGTCAGCGCTGGAGGAAGGTCCTTCTCCTCAATCTTCCTTGGTCTAGGAGCTTCTCATCACCGAAACCCCGGTGCTGCTTTCTTGGTTGTATGAGGTCCTCTGTCTCTCTGCTTGCTTCTCTCTTTTATATCTCAAAAGAGATTGATTTAAGACACAACCTAATCTTGTAGATTGAGTCCTGCCTCATTAACATAACTGCTGCTAATCCCACTTCATTAACATCATTGAGGTAGGATTTATAA